AATCCGTCACACTAAGCATGCTTGTAGCGACAGTGGAGAGGGAAAACTCCCTTTTAACAGGAAGAAACCTCCAGCAGAACCAGGCTCAGTGGTTCTGCTGTCCTCAATAATTAAAAAAAGGTTTCTAAAAGATAACCATTCTGGTATTTTGCAAAGACAAGGCTTTTTGACTTAAACAAGAAATAATTCACTCTGATTTAAATTGTAGGAAATGTATGTTCTAACCCCAATCTTCTACCCATAAGCTATGTGATCAACTAAAGTCTTTTTATCTCTATCATTGTTTAGGGAAATCCAGAGGTTTCATTTCTATGAAATATCATCATTGACAAACTTTTCACCATCCAAAAAAAAGGCTGTCAAAATAATTGGAATTATAAAATATATTTTTCTCTTTTGCCTTGTTATATAACCAACGTTGCTCATCTAAGGTTTTTTGGTATCCAGTATCACTGTGAAACATGGTCTTCAATAATAAGGCAATGAAACAAAAAATGATTTCATTAGCTGCGCTTTTAATGTATAACAACAGTAAAAAGTGAATATTTTACTTTCAAAATAGGAGTGTTTTTATGTACAGTATTTATACAGTTATATAATGTTTAAAAATTGCAGTTTAAACATGACAGTTTATTGCACAACACATTTATAAATTATCCCCATGAAACCACACACAAAACAGATGTATTCCTTAATATCTTAACACTTAACATGAAATGTCTTTAGTATTTTTCTTTCTTAAGTTTCTCATTTTTCTAAGTTAATATGAATCGAGGTCCCGTGAGGAGTGTAGAACATCCCCTGAATACATAATTGGTAAAATGAGCGGTGCAACAGAAACAGAGACAGCCTGAAGCATCTTCATCTGGCCTCCTCACACTGGGCAAAACAATCAAAAGTAATTCTCCAATCCAAATGATGTCAAGACAGACTTTTCTTTTTCTTCTTTCATGATGATAATTGGTTATCGTTATAGCTACAGTACAGCAGCATTAAAATTAAACCATTCAGGTCAAATGTATGCTAAAAAGTTCAGCGAAAAATTTATTTGCTTCTTCAGTCCCTTAGAAAGTATTCGCCCACTTACAGATTTTGTCTGTTTTGCTTTACATCACATCTAAATGTGTCAGATGAACAAACACATGTCTAATTAACCGAGTAGACATAAATTTCAGGGTTTTGTTTATTATTATCAAAGAAGACCAAAATGATCCAAACCATTATGGCACTATGAGAAAAACGGATGCCACCCTAATCCTCATAAATGGCTGTGGGTTTCCCACAACCACCAGAGAGTTTTTCATTCGTAAAAAAACAGCTTCTCTGGGATACTTAATAAATTAATATCAGTTGGTTGTCGGACATGAACAGCCTGTTTAGGATTAAGCTACGGTGTTTCAATTAGATTTAAATTAAGCTTTTGACTAGGCCACTAAAAACCTTTTTTTTTTCTTTTTCAGCAGTACAAAATGTAGACTTGCTGGTGTCCTTTGAATCACTCTTCTGCTGCTACTATCCTGCCAGCTAGAGCTTAATTCCCTAAACCAGGGGTCTGCAACCTTCCATATCCAAAGAGCCAACTAGGTAAAAGTCATTTAGAACCGTAAAATAATACATACTATTTACCCAACCTAATATTTTGACCTAATATCTGCCGTAGGGAATCTGTTACCATCTTAAACAATCAAAACCTAATTGGTATTTTTAACTTTTAAAATAATAACAATGCACATTATTTCCAAGCTAATTAAAAGAAAAACAATGGCTCTAAAAACATTTTTTCAGATTCTTTTTTATGTAATTCTGTTGTGAAGATTCAGTTCTAATATTCTTTATAAAAACCACTAAAGCTCCTAAGACTGGTATTTGTTATTAAAGTATATTAGTTAGTTTTTTATATCCTTTCTAGCCTCCTTAGGTACCATTATGCAGGGCCCAAAGAGTCACACTCTGGAGCCGCAGGTTGCAGACCCCTGCCCTAGATCAATGGTAGGATACTCTCCTTCAGGGTGATTGAATAAAAACCTACTCCTAGCCATCATATTACAATCATCCTTCTGACTATGAAAATGTTCGTTTTTGAACTGATTTGACAGTTTTATCGAAAAATATATGGGATTTTTTTATATGAGTTAAAAGGGTGTCCAACCTTTAAAAATGAATCAAGATGTTTCAATATTTTTATAGCTTCTGAACTCTCTAATTCATGCCTTTTTGAATTTTTTTTTAGTATTTATTTGAATTATAATCACTGGTTTGATCTGGGGGAGGTGATGTATGAAACTGGGCATAATGTTTTGGATCTTCAGATCTTTTATTCTACCTTAGGTTGCCATAAATATGCTGATTAAATGACTAAATAGTTCCAAGGGTCAGGGAAGTCTGAGTGTGGCGAGTTAAAATCAACAAAAAAGCAGATCATTCATAATTACGTATTTTTACAGAGCTCAGCTTTCCCTCTCTTTACAAATGAAACAATTATAAGAAAACTGCCTTTTTGTAATGGATGAGAATATAGAACTTCAATCTTTTTTTTTTATATAATTTTTGGTTTATGAGAAACATTTAGGTAAAAGCAGAACAGCATTACTATGTAAGAGGCTGGTACCTTTTCACAGAACTGTGGGCTGAAACATGAAAACAAATGGGAAGCAACAAACAAACATTAGAAGGATCAAAAGCTGATCCAAACACAGACTTCATTAATTAAATATTCACTCTGTTTACAAAATATAAGTACACCTGCTTTACAACAAATCTACAGCTCGTCTCTCGAAAATCCTTATCAGCATTTTACCCACGTTTTCATCTCCACACCAAGCGTAAGTTAGACACCATATTGGAAAAAATCAATAAAGCATCAAGGCCTTTATCTAACTTAATCTGCTGAGGTTACTTGACATGAGCTGCAGGTGTTCTTAATATCCTGTACACCGGGTGCATTTCAAGTATAACGCTTCATGTAAACAATAACTGAGGGGTGGGGTGGGGGCTCGGGGGTTCAGGACAGAGTTAGGCTAATCAGATCCACGATCACACTTAAAACATCATTAATCATGCTTTCTGCAACAGTTCAATTCAGCCTCTACTTATCTTTGAATGGCCGAATTAGTGCTCTATAGATCACCGTAAAAAATGTCCTATCTCAAATGAGATCTCTTCTGTACGATGTCATGTTTTATTAATAGCCCAGACAGGAACATTTAACCTGAATGCATCATGAGACGCATTATATTTGGTACTAAAAGAGAGAAAGTGGGCCCAAAATATCTCCATATATATTAAAAATCAGAGGATTAAGATGTCTTTGATTCGAATTATTAAATAGCTTGATCTCTCTCACCTTGCCAGTGAGAGATTTTACTGCTTTCAGAGTCTAGAAGTTCAAACAATCATCTCTGAGTGAAGCATAACACTGCACGGCTTTTAAAAGCCAATAGCAAAGGCTTAACAACACAAAGTTACACATCTCTGCTCAGAATGGCTACAAATAGCAACGTCACTCCAAGTCAGTCACATGAAAAACTGTCCTTCAGCTCAGACGTATAAGACGTACTTTAAGTCACGTCTCAACAGATGTGCCGTCCCATTAAATTGGCTCCTGTCTTCGCTGAGCTCCTCGTCTGGCTTTAGCGTTGAGTCATTCTCTTATTAAGAACTGTTCTCTTCAGAGCTCACGCTGGTGCCTCGCACACATTTGGTATAAGCACCAACTACAAAGACGAATCATTTTCCCAGTGGATAAGAATTGGCAGTAGAATTCTGCAACTGATGATGGCCTAAATCCTTTTTCTCTTCGCTTGAGTGTTTTAGAAGTTGAATGTTTTCTTGCTGGAGTTTCTTCGAAAAAGGAAAAAAAAAAGTGACACTGGGTTTAAAAGTCTTTGCTTTGGGGTGCTCTGCTGTGGGATGTGTGCTGTGGTTTGTGTATGTACATTTATATTTATGGGTATGTATGTGTGTGTACACACAGTCAATAAGATAGATCCACAGTTTCTCAGTGTATACCGGATCAGTGCATGTGATTATGACCACACATGCGCATATGAGAGGGATGATGTCCACATCTGAAAAGCATGTATGTTTAAAACTCCTCCATCATGCTTTAATGTGTGGTGATATTACGTCCCAGAGTGGACATAGGAAATGTTCATTCATCTTGGGAATTGTTTATATTCTTGTGTGTATATCTCAGCTCTCTTGGGACATGGCAAAGATGATCTGCTCCATTTTATATGCCAGCTTTTGCTTTTGGGCTTGTTCGTCTTGCTCCAGTGCCTCGATGATCTAGAAGACAGAAAAAAAAGTCACATGGATGAGATAATCAGGTAAACCAAGGACAGAATGAGTGCAGCAGGTCAACTAAGGGAATCCAACCAGTTTGGTTTTCAACTGAAATTAACATACTCTTATTATAGCTAAGAACAAAAATAACCCTTTGCAACACTAATTGAGTTTGAATATGCTTTGGGTATTTGTGTTTAAAATATTCATCACTATTATTTTTTAATTCAAATGCACTTATTTGTAATACTCTTATGGTGCCAGGCCTGTGAGATACAGTAATGTGATCCTGATTAATGAAAGGGAGATATTTAAAGTTTTTTACTGTGACCAGCTCTGCACATATTTATTCAATCACACAGGGCCAGGTTGCAAGACATACATTATCCACTAGTTGGCGGTAATGCAACGCTACAGGTGCAATTCACCATAATACCCCCATGATGAAGAAACCAGCCACATGGGTGACAACAGCCAGTGAGGCTGTTTCCGAACGCTCCCCGTTGGTCATGTGACTCCATCTTTGTTCTCTCTCACCCCAAAAATATATCCCATGATGCTTTGCGAGGAGCGCTATTGCAAAGCATTCTAGAATATACAGCATATGCCCGTCTAGTGAGCATATTTGGACACAGCCTTAGAGTCGACCTTTTCCTACCCCGTTTCAGTTGATGTTGCTTAGACAGCGTATGCCTGATGCCCCAGAATGTCATGTATTGTCTCAATTTTGGGCGTATACATAGCATATTCATAACAAGTCCAGAGCGTATGCGCAACGACAGCCTAAGTTATGCACAACGCACGGCAGCTAAATGCCCATGAAATGCTACAAGCCAGTGTCCTGAGGGGGGCAGCGATGTGCCCAGAGGCGCCCAGACTCCGTAAAAAGATTTCTTTGATCGCGGTATTAACCTAGCTGCTGTTTAAACCCGCATAAGTTATGCACAAGTTACTCATAGGTTTTGGATAACCTAGCCGCCACGAACTATGAGTAACCTACTCTTAACGTTTGTCAACGATCAGATAACCTACCTGTAACTTATCCCCTACGTATGAGCATACGTCCAGGAATTTTGAGCATGCTCAAAATTTCTCGACATACTTGCCATAACTTATCCAACGTATGCCAGCGTTTTTGCCAGATTTTTCATATGTCAGTCATACGCTAGTCTAAAACGTTAAGGTGTGACAGGGGCTTGAGTGCAGAGAAACTGATGCCAGCTAGGACTTGGAGGTATCCTCTGGAGAAGAGACAACTGTTGATAAGTATTTTCAAAGTCATGTGGAGCAAATGAAGGCGCTGTGTAAGGTATGCGAGTGGAGTCTTTACTCACTGTCACTGCTGCCAGCCCAAACTAGCAACCAAACCAAAACACCAATCAATCAATCACATCATAATTTGCAGCTATTGCACCGTATGGAGCAGCAATCAAAGAAATTAAAAACTACACTATACAAGAAAATGCAGTTCAAACTTAAATGAGTTGCTTCACCTAGTAACAAGTAATCTAATTCAGTTAGCCTAACTTAATTTATTAAATTTTTCAACTTTATAAAATTAAGCTGAACCAATGAAGCAATTTATTTAATTTGGAGCAGCATTTTATTTTATAAAAGTATAACACTAGTGATTTCTTTTTGTCTAGCAACAGAAATTATGCCGTTAAACTGTGTTAATTCCTGTGTGATTTTAAAAATACTTAACCTTTGTTTTGCTAGTGAGTAAATCTTTTTTTTTACTCACAAGTGTTTTGATTATTTCTTTGTATTAGAATAAAATATTGAAGTAATCTCTATTTTCTTTAGTTTTCATTACGCTTTAAAACTACGGTACAGTTTAGGAACAAAATGAAAAATCGTGATAGAAAATAGAGATTCAATGATATGGAAAAATCAATCATGACAATTTTTCTTTCATATCATCCATTCCCAGATACTGTGGTTGTTTTATGGACTTTTACCTTGTAATTAAGTGCATATCTTTAACTATACAAATTGGTTTTGCTCAATGCTCAGTAATGATTTATTGTCACTTTTATGTTACTGGCCGTACAGTCAGCACAGGAAAAAAAAAAAACAACCTTATCCAAAACAATCCTCACATAATGGGATGTATCAGTCTGACAGCAATGGCAGTGAAGGAGTTAATCCCAGATTAAATTATTGATTTGAGGCTAGACTACAGGGGCAAAGGTGGCTATATTTTAGCAACACAAAATTATCCTTTTCTATCATCATCCGTTATACTAGTACATCTCAGTAAATTACAACATGTCTTTATGATTAAGCTTGTTTATCTGATTAAAACTTCTACTTTTAAAAATAAAAATAAAACTTTAAGCAGGTATTCAATTTATAATTTTCACCAAGCCCACATGTATTAAACATGTTCTTTATTAGTTAATGTCTTTTAGAAATGAAAGTAAGCAACAGTAAAGTATGTCTTCAATGTATTCAAATTTTGTTTAAACTCTCTTGTCAGGTTCCATCAATTTGTAAAGACAAACATTTGCCTCCCAAGCAGCTGAATATTTCAGCTTCAACTGGTGCAGCTTTTTACTAAATCTCAGGTCTGTGCTGCCTGCAAAAAACACTACTAACACCAAATGAATCAGCAAAAAAAACAACTAAATGGTCCAAGATCTTAACCCAAATAAATAATAACCTGCAGAGAAATAGATTCAGGTGTCAGCTCTCCAGTTCTATAGCAGTAAGTTAAACAGAATAATTACTTTTAATGTAAACTGAAATTACTGTATAGATTAGTGACGTGAATCGTACTTTTAGTCTATATATAATTATCCGAACCCCATTTGCATTTTGTTGAGTTACCAGGACCTCACCTCTTGGCTGTACTTGCTGACGTAAGCGTAGATCTCATGCAGGGCACTGAGCACGTTGAACTCACTGGAGTGGAGGCGAGCCTGTTCAGCCAGATAGGCATTCATATCCTGATCACTGATGGCAGGTAGGCGGTTGATGTCAGCGTAGTACCTGAGAGGACAGCAATACACACAAACACATGCACAAAGAGTCTGTGTGAAGGACACAAGCAATGCAGGCTGAAGCTTTTCTCCTCAGCTGGATTCAGACAAACGTTATGAAAACCCAAAGTGTTTTTAGTCACAGAGGAATCCGTATATCAGAGGTGTTTAAGCATGAGAATAAAGAAATGTATCACTCATAAGTTTGGCCTTTCAGTAATATTAACCTTGAATAATAATTAAAAAAAAAACTCATAGCTTTCATACATAAAATATAAAAGATATATACTGTATGATTCTATCCTGTATTAGTATGAAATTAATAGATTTTTATTGATAGTTAGACTTCAGAAATTAAACAAGAACAAATTCAAGGGAGAAGAGTCTCTATGAGGTGTTTGCTACTTTGAACTTTGGAGTTACGGACAAAAAGTTGTAGCCAGAATAATGAAAAATAGTTGTGACATTTAAGAGAACATGAACAGGTCTTCGGGTCTCTGCAAGTCGACGTTATGAGAATTTTAACAAGTTAAACTATCTTGTGAGAATACTAAGATGGACAAACAAGTAAACAGCTTGAAGGGTAATCCAATTTAGATCCAATTAATAATCTTAACATCAGTTATAAAACAATGGCTGCTGTAACTGATCACGGGTCAGTTAGTATTATCAGATAATACAGAGCGATGTTAAAAAGTTCCAGTTCCAGAAGTAGGGTGATATCTGCTTTGCTGTTATTATGTCAAAGCTCCTGTTAATGAGAGGACAGATAAAGTCCCAGAGGGAGATATTTTTTTATTTATGTTTTATTATATTTTTTAGTAAATGATTAAGGTTTTTTTCTGTGCAAAACAAAATGACACATTTTCTAATCAAATAAAGTGAAACAAGCCAAAGTTAGATTTTTAATGGAAAGTGTTTTGTAATAGATTGTTTTGCCAGTTTTATTGATGAGGTCAAGGTATATTATTTCCTAAACTCTAGGAATATTCTTTGTATATTCTTTTTATCTTTTTTTTCTAAGCAACAAGGGACGGGATATTGGTCACTCTTTTTTCAAAAACACTTTTTTAAATGAATTTCTGCAACTGAAAAATAACTGCTGTGATATTCTATTTCATTTGTAATAATAATTAAGTGAAACAAAATAAAGTAAAATAAAGATAAGGAATTATATTATATTTTCCCTTTCAAAGAGGGTCTAACTTGTTGGACAACTTAGACAAACGTTATTGTCATTTTGTACACACAGAGTGTATACAAAACAAAATTTCGTTTTGTACAGCTTTCATGACATTTCTGTTTCTTAAAGTGCAGCAGATCTCACACTATCATTATATTTTAAATGTACCAATTCTAACCACCACCTGTGCTGTCAGGCAAACTTTGAGGCAAGCTTTTCACTTCAGGATATCCCTAATATGGATCTCAGCTAGGAAGAATTGCTATAGCCTGATTGAAGCCAGCCGACTGGAAAAGCGAAGTATCAGTATCTCTTTCTATTAGGAGGTATTTCCAGATAACCTTGTGCTGCAAGGTGGATTGTCATGAGATCTGAGTTTTCAGTCTCACAACAAACCCATCTTGAAAGCGGGTCGGACCAATGAAATGCCAGTAGTGTTTTTGTGAGGGAGACATGTAGTAATGAAGACAGTCAAAAGGGCCTTGCCAGGGCATATGTTGGAGGACTCACCTGTTGATACAGCAATTGACCCGGTTTTAGGTAAAACAGAGACAATTTCTTACTTAAAAATGAGCAAAGAGAAGCACTTTGTGCATTTGTAGATGGGAAAGATGTCTGTGTTTTTCTTCTGACAGGATTTGGAAAATGTATCAGCTTACGAAACGTCATGATTAGCTGCTACAAGTGGCTGAAAGCGTATTGTGGAGAGCTTTAAGTATTGTGCTTACTTGATGAGGGTGCGCAAACATGACCATATCACCCCCTTTCTGAAATCACTTCAGTGGCTTCCTGTCGCACTCATAATTGAATACAAAGTCTCCCTCCTTACCCATCACTGCATCCATGGTGATGTTCCATCATACCTTAAGGAACTTCTCACCCCACAGACCTCAACACGTAACCTCCGTTCTACAGCAACATATCTGCTGAAACCACCAAGGACGAAGCTTCGTACAATGAGAGATCAGGCTTTCTTTTCAGCTGCTCCCAGGTTGTAGAACGCTCTCCCTGGCCACCTCAGGGCCCCACAGACTGCGGATGCTTTTAAAAGTGGCCTTAAAACCAACCATTTTAGGAGAGATTTTAATTGAACTCTTCCCCCTTTTTTATTGTCTTTGATTATTTTATCTTTTCTTTTACTTTTTTATTTCTCATGCTCTACATGTATTTTTATTTAGCACGTACCTGTTTTACTATGTAGCACTTTGGGATTTGTTTAAATATAAAGTGCATTACAAGTAAAAAATTATTATTATTATGTACTAAAGGTCCCTCCTTTTCACGGACAAACTGAACGGCAGCCATCCCAGATTGATAACGTAGGACTCAGTTCTACAGATATCAATCTGGCTACTGCAAGGTTAATTTCTAGATGCAAAGAAACAAAAAACACATATCGAACACATCCGCGTTCTGAAAAGGGTCCCCCATTTCTTGTGTTAAGATAGCACTATTTTAAAAACACATTTTGTGACAAAAAGATGGCCTTTCAGTGCAGCAGCTGAATATGGACTGTCCAAGCAGGCAAAAGGTATGTTAAGGTGTTCTACTTTTGCTTATGTGTATAACTAATTTAGCATAAAAACAGACAAAATAGATAACATTACTGAATCCACTGTAATTGAAAAGTTTGATTATTTCAGGAGGATTTTGTTTGGTTAAAGAAGTCTTACTGGGAAGCAGGGGTAAACTCACCCACATTGAGTATAATGAATAATACATAAGGTGCAAATGTTTTGTTAGTTATTATTTCACTTGTGCAAACATGCAATCAACCACACAGGTACTCACCTTTCCACCCAGCTTTTGTAGTGCGGGATGTCCTTGGCATAGAGCAGTTTGGTGGAGGGCGAGTCTTTTCCCAAGCGGTGTTCAGATGTTGAACAAGAGTCCATAAAGGTCTGCGCCACCACTGACAGGCAGGCGTCTGTGATGCTGCTTTTATGGATGTCAAACACAAACTGGGGATTCTTGATTACATTTACCCAGAACCGCAGCGGGAGGCTGGAAATGTGGAGAGATATTGACGGGATAAAATGAAAGAAACAGCAAGACATGTTTGAAAAGAGAAATCAAATACTTCCCAAGCACCCAAAGCTCCTTTTGAATTTGGGTTTAATTAGTCCTATCTTCACTTTCATGTTTGAACTTTAGTTATTAAAAAGAAGATGTATATTTAAGCTGTGGTAAAAATCCCTGAGCTAAAAGATATTTTCCAAGAACAGTATAAAACAGGAAAAATGCTTAAAGCATATGGTACCAACTCCTAAAGTCACTTTAACTGTATAAGGACCAAACTAAAATCAGGTATATTATGAAGGCAGTGTTAATTACAGGCCTGCATTTAGGAACAATTGATTTTTATGATTCCAATCAGTATTGGTTCAATCTCAGGAAAGCTTAAGTTGAAGTTTTACGTATATATTGTCTAACTTATCAGTGTTAAATAAGACTATCACAATTGTAAAAATTGTTTAAAAAGTATCACAATTGTAATGTAGGCAATGCAATGTAATGTATGCAATCTTGTACAATTATTATTTGAAAATGCTAAATTTTTGTTGTGCACCTGTTCTATTCTGACATTTAGTCAGAAATTAGTAGAGTACCCCAAAACAGTAGCCCTACTTTGTCATATTTCTACTCAAGAAGAAGTAGCCTTCCAAGATACATGGTGCTCAGGTAAGATTAAAACAAATATTTGCTAAAAAGGCAGCTTAAGCACTAAGTAACTTATCATAATATCTGATTTAAAACTTAAAAATATGCTAAATATAAAGTCACATGCAAATGTTGGTGTTTTTAAGAGTGAAAAAAAAACAAATACATTCAAACAATTTGCTGTATAATCACTTAACGTCACTTCACATGATGCAGGAGAATTTGTAGATAAATAACATTAAATCAATGAAGCTTTGGTACAGAGAATGGGTTTAACTTATATAAAAACCCGGGGTGTTCATCTTTCTCAGGGACGGCGCTAATAGAGAGTCCAGGGGTGGCCTGGGCTACCCTAAGCCAGTTATTGGCCACTCCTGCCAGCTGATTTATTGTTCTTATTTGGACATTATTGACCACCTCTGGAAACAAAAGTTCGCCTCTAAAACAGAGGATGGCAGCAGCAATACTCTCAAGTGAAACTAATATTGTCATGATAGTGCCCCTTTGTGGACATTTTGGTTCTGTTTAAATTTTCATTAGCATTTTTATTCATGTAATTCTATGTTTTCTTTGTTGTTTCTTTTCCATTTTTTGTTATTGTAGTTGTTTTCTAGTTGTATTTGAGCAGTGTTGTGTTTTTTATATTGTTCTCTGTTGCACTCTTGTGTCACTCTTCTTTCCCCTAGCTTCTAATTGCTTCTATCCACACCTGCTCCTTATCAGCTGATTAGCCCAGTCTTTGTTCTGTCTCCCATATAAACTCCTGTGCATTACCTTGTTGTTTGTTTCTCTTCAATGCTTAGCTCCTTATGTGTGTTTCTCCCTGCAGTTTTGTGTTGCCATCCACTTTTCATTAAATCTGCAAGAACTCATCTCTGCATTTGGTTCCTCAACCAACTTCCAAAAAAATCTGACAGTATTTACATTTTAATTGCTTTTATGGTTATTAACCATAAAGTGACAACACAAATAGAGCAGTTAATTATTAGAATTAATTAAATTATATTAACATAGGACCAATTCACAACAAATATAATCTCTAGGCACCTTATGGAGACAATTTAACAATGAAAATGTTCTGACACTTCCCCTGATATCTGTGGTTAATTCTAATTAAAAACAAGCTTGTTCTTTATTAAGTATATTACTCAAGTAAAAGCAGCACTTCTACATTATATTTTTGAGTAAAATACAAGTATATGTAACTTCTGTATACCTCTGCTTTTAGTGGAAACATTTTGGTCATAATCTCCTGCATCCAGCCTATGTTTTAAAATAAAATATATTTTATGTGTTTGAAAAACCTTTGAAAAGGTCTGGGTTGTGTCTGATTAAAAGGATGGCTTTAAACTGTTAGATCAGATTTGTAAATCTGTGCTATAAATAAAACTTATGGACACTGTCTTTGTCCACATTGAGCAAAACATTCTGTTCAGTGAGTTGATGAGAGCATTTCATGTTTTAACCAATGAAATTATCTTTACGAGTAAAACATAACGGATAACACTGATGATGAGTAAACATTGACAAGGATGGAAAAATTCTAAAACAGGCGCAAGAAATTCAAAACACATGAAAAGTTATCTTATTTTACATATTCAAATATAATATAATACTTTGTAAATAGTTGGAAACCTTTCTCACCAGTTGCTTTTCCATGTGTGGCGAACGTCCATATCATGGATGCCATGTGTGTCGGCCTGCTCATCAAGGAAGTCAAACATGTATTTGATGGCCAGAGGAAGGGCGGTACCTCGACACACGGTGCTGAACAAAGTCTCAAACAAGTCGTCCACAAACTTCTGTAACGTACCCTGTAAAAAAAAAAACATCAAGAGAGACATAATACTTAAGTGTTTTTGCTTCAGCTGTGAAATTGCATGTACCATTATCATGTTTTGCTGGCAGATAAGGTGCACCATGAGTTCAGATTCACATTAGGATCAGAAGAACAAAGCAACAGAAAGAATACTTAATGCTGGAAAAAGATATACAATTTGGTTTGGCGTTCCCATGGTAACCAAGCAATTACAAAAGAACATATAATTGCTATATTAGCCTACAGCATGAAATATTGCAGAATACATGGCTTAGAAATTGTACACCGTGTTTTTGATAATAATTACAGGTTTTATTTAAAAAGGCACAAGGCTTACAGCCTGTTAATTAATGATGTGGCTGTTCACTGTCTCACTTTTTCATGACGTTGATGGTCAGTTTCTAACATGTAGGAGTTAAAAAGCCTTTTTTAACCCAGTCCTGCATGAAGGTATAGGAAGCTTAGCATTATTGGTTTGGACAAAAACAGAATTAGTTGTGAGGGAGGGAAGGGTGAGCAGTAAATTTAATCACATTTTTCTTTAACAGTATTGCTTTGATTATATAAGTAAAAATGTGTTTTTGTTACTATCTTACAACCCTTTTCTCTTTCTTTGAATGTATCACTGCATACCTTCTAAAGTAAAAATAATTAATTAAATTAATTCATTTTCCTGAGTGCAATATAATTAACTATGAATGTTCAAAAAGTATAACCAAAACTAATAAACCTTTAACAAGTCAGCTGTTATAGAAGTCATTGCATTCAAACCTGTAACAACTAAAGCTTTGTAGTATCTTTTGTAAAGAAATATACTTTTGAAAAGAAAAATGAAAAAAAAATCAGCATTCACATTCAGATTGCCTCCATTATTAGCAGTTTAAGTGGGTTTTATTTCACATTTTCTCTTTACCATTAAGGCAAAAAATGGCCAAGTTCCTTCTAGAGTCTCACAGGCACAGACTGTACACCCTAAACACAGAATACAGCTAATATTCAAAAGACTAATACACCACTCTAACACTAAGAAGAAGCAAAAAAGTAGGTTTAGATCTGTATTGATCTATCATTGTTTTGATTTCCCATAATTTACAGACAGACAGAAAGAGGTTGAACTGAAGGAATAAATGAACATAGTATCTTTATCTTTCAATGGGCACCTTTGTTGCCAGCAGCCTCGTCAGGTAGATTTCAGACACCATCTTGCTTCCGCGCTCTCCCTCTTTCTGGTCACCGTGATCGTGGTTCTTGACTAAATGCCAAACCTTGACACCGCTCTCCAGATCAGGAGTGATCATAGGCACACGGGAGTGAGGGCTGTCAGGACTGGTGGGGGTGGAGCGGAAAGGGACATCCATACCTAGGTTTATAAAGATGAAAATACCAACAAAAGGCATGTTTGAAAACGATAAAGATGCAATTCAAACTCATACTATGGATGCACACGCTAGTAGTTTTTTGATGGATATGAATATAAACTGAAGTGTTTCTTGTAATGTCAATCTAAGCAGGAGGGACATGTGTTTAGACTATACAATCAAATACACCAATTATGTTATTTGTTGTCATAGTAACACCACAGGTTAATTACATATTTCTTAGAAAAGGTATTTCTACCCTTCAGCTTAAAATATTTTCTTATAATCCCAGAAATATAAAGGTAAGTTAAAAGTGTTGTACGTCTACGTTTAAATTAGAAAAAACAACCCCAACAAAAACAAAACATATTTAATTTCTTTGAGTATCTAAATATCTATCAAATCTTCAACGTTAACAGTGTTACCATGATTTATAAGACGATTCCTGGATGAATATTAGGTAGCTGTATTAGTTTTATAATGCTGACCATATCTGCTGATACTGCGTGGGAAGCTGGCTGAGGAGGGAATGATGAAAGAGGACATCTGTTTGGGCACCAAGGCCACCACACAGCGATCAGATACCTGGGAGACAAAGATGGAGCTTCATGAAATTTGCCTTTCAGATACTAATCAAAAGAAAGCAATGTGAGGAATTCAAAGTATCATCAGAGCTACAAGACCAAGGACCAGAGTTTCTTTTTTCACAGTTATGGTTCAGGAGAGTAAATACTGTAGCCATCTGTGGGTTGTCAGGCTGGCTTTCAATGGTGGTGCAAAGAACACACCACATAAACACTGGAGCGAACTTTCAAAGGGATCAAATACTGCATACTGAACACCTTTTAAGTACTGTTGGAAAAAAAATAACACCAACAAAATGCCATATGCCTCTAATACGGAGGTCTTCAACAGGGGGTCCACAGAGATAATGCATGGGGGTCACGAAAGTTATGGTTGATTAGAATTTTTTTTTATATTACCCATTGCAATGTTTTTCAATAATTGAAATGTCTTTAAATCCACATTAACATGAATTCAACACACTGTAGTAAACAGATAATTAGAGGCAGAAGATGTCTTTCAGTCATAAATGCACACATTCAGCGACACACAGGAGCTCTTTCAAGCTGGACACCGTTTTATTCACAACACCTGTCCCATCAACCAGGAATCCGAATCAGAAATAATAATCCCAGGCGAAATTACTTTTCTTACATTACTCCACATGTAATAGAGTGACTAAAGGACCAGTTTGATATGACATAATGTCATACAATATATATAAGGGGTCCCTATTCCATCTCTCCATCAATATGTGTGCCCTTGGCCTAGAAAGACCCCTGCTCTAATACATAATGCAATCAAAATTAGATAGTTAATACAGGAGATTTTATAAAATTGTTAAAATCTCTGCTGAAACACTGTTCTGCATTGCATCACAGATTTAGCTTAGACAACAACAGGGCAAAGATTTCTCACCTTACATATATAATAATATAATAAAGAAATGCTATCCTATCAGTTTTTTCTGAAAAAGAATCAGCTGAGAAGAGAACCAGAGCAATGAAATTCAGTAATATGAATGAAGTGACGTTGGAGGTCAATGAACTGTTTGTTAACATTTTAGAAAAGATGCTGAAAATGATGAGCAAGTTCATGCTTAATTGATTCACTTTTTTTTCTATGAATCATCTGAAAGCATGTTAAAGTTAAAACTAAAGTTCTTCAACTCTCAATCACAAATTTCGCCTATTGTAAAAAATCTCATGATCTTGGCCCTGATGGCTGGCCTAATTGCTCATTCCATTCACCTGTCTAACACTGCCCAGTTGCTCATTTATGAACATCTAATCCACCTGCTCCTGATTCTATTTATACGGCTCAGTCCCAGCCATTGGGGCCAGATTATTGCTCTTGTTCTTGTTCTTGTTCTCTGAGGCCAGCGGAGAAAGGGTTTTTAGCGTTCCGTAGTGTTTCTGATTTCCTGATCCTGATCTGCCTCTCATCCACTGACCATGCCTGTTCCCATCTGAACGTTCCGCCTGAGCTGTCTCTTAAGTCCTGGAACCCTAGACCAGGCTGTTCCTGTTGTATTCAGTGTCCCTGGCCGGGCTTCGGACTCCTGGACCTCTGAGCATTCCTGTTTGGTTCTGTCTGCCTGACCTTGCTTGGACTCCTGCATGTTCTCTGGGGCTGCGGCATCTGGGACACTCTGGGCGCCGCATCTCTTTTGCAGTCCATCGGCTAGATCCTACCTCATTCTATGGAGATGGATTGAACTGCTTAAGTTTCTAATAATGGGCCCACCCTAGCTGCCGATACCGCAAATCCACAGCTCACTCCGCCTATTAATAAACGCTTTGAATTATCCCACTGTCTGTCTTGCCTTGAATACTGGGTCCTTCTCTCCTGCAACATGACAGAAAACTAGCAGCTGTGTGCAATAAACAAGTCTAATAACTAATATTATAAGGGATGTTACAAATCTAGAAATTAAAATAAAGAAAACAACTGACTGCTAGATTCTTGAAATCTTTTTTTACTTTTGCAATCTACTGTTGAAGTGATAAATAACCTCCTCCTGGGAAATCTGCCCCGTTCATTTCCTGATACTCGACTGAATAAGTCTTCACAATCAGCAGATACCAGCGCCTGAGGAAGCCTCTGAGCATCACTGACCATCCACCATTCTTTCTTCTGAGCATGCTTTTTTCAAGCATATATTCCACTCTTACGCCTCAAAATGTATTACTTATCTGCAGAGTTGAAAATTGCTCCGCTAATAGAACCCCATTTTTACTGGCTGTATTCATGTAGTTGTGAAGCTGATTTTCTCTTATGCCTTTGAGTCAGCGGTGGTGTTCAGGCATGGGGCCCTTCAGCGTTTATTGCTTGCTTTATAGGGGAAACCAAAGTGTCCAAGGCTGTTGTCGCCAAGTCTTGGTTTGCATCTATTTTGCAGTTGGTTGAGGATTTTTCCTCTTTTGCAATCTGGTGAATTCCACTGGTAGCTTCATACAGATGATGTACCTATTATTCCTTTCATTTGCATGCTTTGCTTCCCCTATTCAAGGATAAAATCATTTTTGATTATGTTGTCTGCAGGAGCTAATGAAAATGTAATTTGCAGTTTCAAAAGCAGTATTAGTATTTGTTTTTATTTAAATATTTCTACTTTTCATGTGACATTTATTTTCAACACCTGAACCTCATTTAGATTTGGTTTTTAAACTATTTCTAGTCCAGAAAAAAAGCATTACTTTATACTAGGACTGAAACTAACAATCTTTGTGCTAATCAGTTAATCTGTTGGTCTTTTTTATTTTTCTTCGATTAATTGATTAATAATCGGATAATAAAAGGTTCCTCAAAGAAGACTTTTTTGCAGAATTTAGACCAGGTGAAACCAAAACTTTTCCACTTGAGGAGTTCTATTGATGGAAGAAATGTTTTTATTTATTTATTTTAATCTTAAATGCAAAATGTATGTATGTATGTATGTATGTATGTATGTATATATATATATATATTATTATTTTTTTTTTTTACAATTTTAGTATAGTTACTGCTCTGAGTGGGTTGGTCTATCAGCTATTAATTATTAATAGCTGATATTAAATTATTATTAAAATGTCATTATTAATAATTTATGAAACTATTATTATATCATTATAATAATTAGTTGAAGATTACATAAATAATCGATTAATCCAACTGTTTTTTTCCCTACTTTGTACTGGTGTTCATTTTGATGAGCCTCTTTTTTTATTTCTGAGATCTTAAAACATTTAGGATTTCAATGATTTGTCAAAAAGACACTAAAAAGAAAGTTACATTTGTTTTTTAATGTCAGCATTAAGTGTATTCCCACACCTGGTAGTGCATGAGTGTGTTGAGTCTCTTCCAGTCTCCTTCTATCTTTGTTGTGATGTCCTCGTCCTGTAGAACCACACGAGCTGTTCTGCCCTGCCGCCACTCTGTTGACAAAATACATGTTAAAGGCAACAGATTGCTGTCATTTTGTGAAACAGCTTAAAGTGTGTCTCACATGTCTAACACATATGTTCCCCTGTCTGAGATAGAGGCTGCACACAATCCCTGAGGTTATATTATACTTGCTTGTTATGTTTATTCTTCAGAAATTTACAAGCTGTCAAACGCAGCTGGCAAAATGTCAACCAGACTGCCTCTTGTCCTTGACAAAACACGTTGGTTTTCTGTGAACTAAATGAAAGGACACAGCATCTTTCCTTGGGCTACCAGGAGCAAAAATCAGACCCATCCTCCCTAAATCCCAAACCTGTAAAAGCCCCTGAAGGTGTGAAACTACATGCCCAAAGCGCTATCAGGCGCTACCAAGAGGGTGTTTTATTTTCTCTGTGTGAAGGTGCACGCCACCTGAATTTGTGCCGCATCACTCAGTATCAGATGACATGACGTGGGTGTAAGCCTTCATGGAGTAGCTCTGTCAGAAAGGTTTAACATCACTGTTGGACTGTTGCTGTGATTGCAATTGCAAGCAGGTATGTGGAGGGTACAGAGACAAAGAAGGAGCCCTTTCCTGATGTCAAACATCCTCTGTAATTTGTCTCGACATGGGAACTGTCAGGTGAATCATTACTGCTTTGACATCCTGCCAACAGGTTGTGTTCCCGTTGATTTTTATTCAGAATGTATAATGTATGCAACAGTTAACTCACCTAGGTCCATGTCTGACGCTCTTGGTCGTGTAGAGTATGGCACATTTTTGTAAACAGCATCCAGAATCTTTTCCTTCACCTGGGTAATGGTGTCACAGTTGAGCACCTTTACTGGGATCTCTGGGCTGTTCTCATTGTCAGGATTCACACAGCTTAGAGTCTGGAGGTCCAGGACAGAAAGAAAGAAAGAAAGAAAGAAAGAGAGATGGGTGTTGCTTGGGAGGTCCTTTCATTACCTGCTCTTCTCCAAAATGTCCTGGTGGAGAGCATCTTGGCTTGAAATATAATTTCACACCTCCAGGATGTGACTGTGCAGCTCTGGCAACAGCATTAAACAAGTAATGAGACAGAGCCTCTCACAGTCTCCGACACGGCGATCAGAGAGGTGTCATCTTGTCGCTGGCTGGCTCTGCTCTGCAGCTGAAAGCCAGGGGGGAATTCTGATTCTGCTTGAATAGAAATGTAACGAACAGAGACATGCAGCTGGCCCAGCTGCTTGACTTTAGAGATTAGCATGGACGAAATTAGCAATTTGGCAGAGTCTCTACTGCTAATGATATTTAACAGTTTATAAGTATAAAGCTGCCTTTTTTATTTTAGAATTCCTATACGAGTGTATGGGTGAAACAAAGAAAAGCCTGCATGCTGGATGAAATCGTGGTATTAAGAGGCTCTTTTGTCGCTGCCGGGTATTCAGCTGATGCAGTTGTTTGATTCTTCTTAGTGGGACACAATTTCTACATATCAATGTCCCTCTGAACAATAATTATCATCTAAAATCAGTCAAGGATGGTTTATTTATGCCAGCACCCATTTTATACAGTATTGGTTCATATTGCATAGTTTCTCTCTGTATCCTATTCACATGGCTGTTATTCATCATCTCAGTCGAATATTTTTTAGCCCCTCTGGTAAAAGTTTGCATAAAACATTAGAATAACCAGTTTTTGATCTCTTAGAAATGTTTTTTTCTTTCTTCTTTGTTAATTTTTGTTTAGTGGATACATGGTAATGACCCATTTTTAGTTTCTGGAAAAGGTCACCAGGTTGTTTTATTCATTTAAATACATATTTTAAAGAAACATGCATGCCAAAAACTCTAAGAAAACTTCCAAGGGCCTTTGAAGGGAAGCTGGCTCAAAGCATAACCTCAGCATGATTCTTATCTACACTAATGAATGGTCATGAGTTGCTCCTTACAGTATTAATCCTTTTTATAACACTACAGTCTTATGGTGTTGTTTTTTTTGTTGTTGTTGTTTTTCTCTTCTTCTTTTTTTTGTTTGGGCTAAAAAGCTCAATCTGTGTCTCATCTGGCCAAAAGCAAATGCTTCCAGGCAAAAACTCAGTGGGGTTTAGCAAACTCAACAGGTTGTTGTCTATTTTATTAGGATGGAGAAAGGGCTTTCCCTGTTAGGCCTAACAAATAACCATTTGGGATATTAATAACATCTTATGGAGACTTGGTGATCCCAGGAAACATATTTTAGACTGTTCTCTTTCCTCCTTAATCTTTCTATCTGTAAAGTCAGATTTGGGCACCTGTCCAGCGTTGACAGTTTCAATTGTTTCAAACATTTTAATTTTAGCTTTGACTTTGAAGTTTTTGCACTTTCTAGCCACGTACTTTCTACCTTGTGGGGACCAAGGCAGGTCAAATTTGCAAGAATATGCTACTGTGTTTGAACTGACAGGATATTTTTGAGGAAAAGGTCCTCATGAGGAAAGGCTCTATTCTTATGTGCGGGGTTTAGGTTTAGGATTAAGGTATAAACTGAGTTGAAGTTAAGGTTAGTTTTAGGTATGTTTTGGTCACGGTTTCTGTTAGGGTGAGGGTCTGGGTGAGGCAATAGAAATGAATGGGAAATGTTTGGCATGTTTTATCTATAACTCAGGGAAACAGAAATAGTGGGTAATGGGTTAAACTCATCTGGATACATCAATTAGTTTGTGTTAAACTTTTAAAAATACTTATTTTTGTCATTTTTAGGGTCATGTTATTATACCATGAGAATGGAAATGCTTAATTGCCTCATCAGCCATTTTACAGAGGGGTGATAATTGCAGACAACATTGCAGTGGGTTGCTCTAAGTTTAAGAGTGTTATAAATTGAAAGCATAACTTAAAAAAAATGTAAACAAGTTAAAGAGATATTTTAAAAGATTAGAGTTAACCCCTTGATGCCTGAATTTATACATATAAAGAACATTTTTTTTCCTTTAAGTAGTTGACAAATAGAAATGTCTAAACTTTCTATTTGATTTACAAATAGAAATTTACAAAGTTATGACAACAATTACAATCTAATAGAATAGAATAGAACTTTATTGATCTCACAATGGAGAAATTCACTTGTGAGATTGGCTCTTATAAAGTCTTATAAAAAACAGTAGGTGCACAAAGGAGGAAAAAGGGCATGAAGTTTATAAAGTACATCTAGATATATACAGAGGATGGTAAAAAAATAAAGAAGAGATTTAGGGTGTCTTATATATACAATGTTTATGTATAATAGTCTTATGTACAGTAAAGTGGTGGCAGGTAAAGTGTGGCTTCTGGTTTGTTAAATAAATAAATATTGTAAGTTATTGCAGTATTATTATTATAATATTATTAGTATAATAAATAATGGTCAGAGATAAAATAAGCTGTAAGGAACTAGTTGTGCTTGTTAAAGGTTCCCAGGTCCACAATGAATGTGTGGCACAGGAGGAACTCCCATGCTATCTTTGCTGTGTACATAATACAAAGGCTTTGTTGCCTTTATGCAACAATTGGTGTGAAGGGGTTAAGTTCATTTGTCTTTAGGCCAAAATCAAATCAAAGTGCATTTTATATTTTCCATCAGTTTATGATCTGTAGAGATATTTACATAAAAAAAATCATCTGAAACTGTAAGGTGTTATTTGGCAATAGCCCTCCAAATTTATGCAGACTAAATTGACAACTTTGCTTTATGAATGCCTTTGTGACTCACCAGAGTCTTGTATTCAATCTGCTGCCGGATGAGTTTGTCTTCACTGAGGGAATATCTTGCCTCCCCTGTGATGGAGTCTATGGGTCCCTTCTCCATTTGCTGTTTGATGGCACAGAACAGCATGAACAGGGGCTCGCCAGCGCACTCCTTCGTTTTGGAAGGAAACCAAGAAATTTGATCAAAAGGAGAAAGGAGACAGAGAAGGGATGTGAAAGAAAACAGATCTCTATATGTCAGCAGATGAGAAGAGACCTGCTAATCTGAACACCACGAATCAGACAAAGTAAAGCTATTATGAGGAAAAACTAGACCTCAAAGGTAAAATAACCCTTTGATTGTGTGGAAAAGCATGGCAGTTAAAATTGTAGCTACCACAAGAATCCAAAGGAGTCTATTTAAAACGAAAATCAATACAAAACATCTTAAGGAGCCCATAGTACATCACAGTGACACTTGTAGCAAAAGAACAGAGAATGACTTTGTCTTACCTTGAGAAATTTGTGAAGCAAGAAGGCAAACCAATTTGTCAGCATCTTCTCTGCCACCGACTCTGTTCTGCAAGACGGGAAAGAGGCAGACTCGTTTATTATCAGGAGACATCCCACATAGAGCTGGAGTGCTCTGATTAGTTTTCCATTATCTTAAGACTGCCTGTGTTGAAACTCACAGAACTAAAAGGAAGATTTTAAAACATTAGCACTCAAACATTTGGCCTCGGTGGAAACTCTTTGCTGTAACGTCCAGTTAGTGCTGCCAGTGCACAAAACGGATGGGTGTGACATAATGGTGATGACTAAATGACTACTTCAGATGCCTCATACTGTTTTTTTTCACTATGTCTGCTGTTAACTTCTTTGCAGGGGTCCAGTTTGAAAGATGACATGATTTACAGATAAGCCAATTTTTTTCTTTTATCAACATCAAATTTGAAGCTTTTCACACAGCAGCAACCCTCTTCCTTTTATCCACCACTTTTTGACCCCTACCTGCATAACTTCCTTAACCTGAGCACCATTCAACTTTTTGTAGGAAAGTTTTTTGTTGAAGAGAGGTAAGTTTGGACAAAAAACTTCTTCTGCCAGCTCCCGTTTGAACTCATCCTTATATATAATGAGTGTGAGCACAAGTTTTCTCCCCTCAAAAGTCTCATGAAACATTCAGCACAGCAAAAAAAAGGGAACAACAAAAAAAAAAAACAATCGACAGATAACTTGAGGTGGAGCGTAGATGGAAAGGGGCGAGAGAAGGGAGAAGAGGAGAGGTGACGGGGAAAGAGACGTGAGCTACAGCTGAATGTTTCATGAGAGGGTATACAGAAGATAAGTCAGACTGACAACAACTCCGCTGCCGCTGCACTCACTCTTCCCCATTACGGTCTCTTTCTCTGCCAGTCCTCCCATTCTCTATCACTCTTAACACTCCTGTCTTTCACCTGTCTGCTCAGTCACCCTTTTCCTCAGAATTGCAACAAAACGAAGCTGAAGAGAGGTCGACTTTCTTACTGGCCTAGTTGCTCAGCCATCAGAACAGTGGTAACTGGGCTGGAAAGAACAATGCAAGGAGGAATTAGGTATGGTAGAAGATAAGCAGTGCTGATCAGGACAGGTTGAGTTTCTGTCAGAAAGTGTTTCTAGCTTATTTTCCACTGACTACAGCAGAAAGCTACAGTTCTGTAAGGAGAGAGCCCAATCCTGGGTGAACAGATGCAAACCATGTTAAACATTAAATCTTTACATGATTGCATGTAAAGGTTTGGGATTTGCTTTGCTTCATAAAGATTTACTTTAAAGGAGCTAACTGCATGGACATTAAGTTATTAACACTGAATAATAAATTAAATATTGTGTATAAACATGTCTTTTGAACTTGAATGTACATCACTGCCTTTCTGGAGGTCACTCCAAACCAGCTCACAAAACCGTCAATTCAGTCAAAGTTCCTATGAATCCTAGTATGGATACTGCGCGGGCAGTTCTAGGCAGGGGTAGACAGGGACCAGTGCCCCTGTAGAACTGGCCCTGCCCCTGTTATGGCCCCTGTACAGAAAAAACATCGTACAATGATATGTCCTGGAAAATACATTTTTACGTAAACTGTTTTACATTAACTGCGGTTTAACAACTAAGATGTTGTACTTTTAGCTTTGGTCTCATTGAAATAGGATCACAGTTTTTATCTGCTAGACCAGAGGACTGTAACATGCAGCTCTGGAGCCACAAGTGGCTCTTTGCAAAGTAGCTCACTTAATATATTCAACTATCACTATTGGCCTGTTTTTAAATGTTTTTTAGTTTGTTTTGTTGTAATCTACTGCACTGTGCCCCCATGAAAAAACCCAATGTTGGTATAGAACTGCCACTGCAGCCCTGGGTTTTAAAACATTAGAAGTATATGACTATTTTAAGGTCTTTATATTGAGCTGGATTTTTTTTTTTTTTTACTTTTTCTTTAAAAATCTGACAGTTTTGTTTTGTTTAATACTGTAATCCAGAAAGCTTTAGAATAATTGCACATACATTTAAATACAATTGCTGACTGTATTAAGGTTTGAGTGTTTGTTTTATGCTATGCCATGATTACATACCTGGTACTAACATCCCGCTCTCATCAACAGTTAGTAATCTTAGTGTAAAAATGGACTCCCAACTCACTTTTCAAGCCAATATAAATCACTTATGCAAGACCTCTTTCCACCACCTCCGAAACATTTTCAAACTCCATCGCATTCTCTCCTTCCCAGATGCCGAAAACCTGGTTCATGCATTTGTCTCCTCCAGACTGAACTATTGCAATTCACTTCTTATTGGGATCCCTAGAAAGAGTCTGCAGAGGCTTCGGTACATTCAAAACTCTACAGCTAGGCTCCAGATGAGAGTGAGGAAACATGAGCACATTACCCCCATTTTCCACTCATCACACTCGCTTTCCATCTTGACCAGTGTTGCATACAAGGTTTCCGTCCTCACACATTAGTGCATCTATGGCATGCCGACCCCCCCCCCCCAAAATAAAAAGATTATCAACCCACAGAACGCAGAGTGTTTATTTTTAGCAAATCTTTTTGTCCCCATTAGATGTTTTTCCTGCTTTTTTTCCTGCTCTCTTTTTACCTGTAGCACTTTGAGATGTTTTGATGGAAAATGCAGTATAAATTAAATGTATTATTATTATTATGATTATTATTATTAATATTATTTATTACCTGGAGTTAAAAGCAAATGAATGAAAATAATATGAGTAACAATATCCCTTATAAGACCAAAGTGATAGAACATTGTCATTTGTAGAGCTTAATAGAGATCTTCGAATCTCTAGCTTCACCTGCCTTTCTGCCTTAATCAAACACCTGTCTTCTGATCCATGCTTTGTTCTGCCGAGGCTACCATCTAGTGCTGAGGAAGTTAATGGATTTCCATTTTACTTATTAGGATGAGGTACCAGAAATCTGAATTATGCCATGCATGATCCTTTCTGTGTAGCTTCTGAGAAATAAATGCGTTTTAGGTAATTCTTAAACTTAAATCAGTTAATTATTTGCACTTTGAGTCCTTGTCGCCTGGTTATTTAATCATCTTCAATAGCTTAAAATAGTGTTGTTTAATGTAAGATGGTTGTTTAATGTTTTTATTTTGTTTATAAATAAATGAACAGTTATTAGTTCAATTATCAGATTTTCTTAAGTACATTAAAAAGTATGTTACAAGGAATATACACACTCCTCCAATATCATTTTAGAAAGGATTGCTCTGGGAATATGAGTATTTATTTTTTAGATAGGGTTGATAAGTTCTAAGATGGACTGATATGTAAACTTTCTCAAAGGTGAAAAGCATCTTGATATAAGCCAGCTTTTATGGAATTTGAAGGATACCTCCTGAGGAGCAGTTTGGGGTGGTTCTTGCTCTCAAGGTTGCGTTCTATAAGGTCAGAGAGCAGGTGCTTAAGGATGTCTGTTGCATACTCCAATCGTCCTTGCAAGGCAGTCATGATGAGCGAAGCTACGTAGCCCCGGTCACGCATGGAGAAGGAACGCTGCGTCTCCAGTGTGCGGATGAAAGTCAGCAGGAATACTTTGTTATTCACCAGCTGAGCAAACTGCTTCAAGGCTTTCTCCACGCTGGCCTGTCCAGTCCCAGGAACCTGCATGTATCATGCATAGTTGCACACACAAAGAGTCATACACACATCAGATAGCGCATGCTGAAGGGTGAGTCAGAAAACAATAAAAACAGAATGAAACAGGCATGACAGATTTCCCACACCACCTTAAACAGGAAAGTCCAAACAAGAAGGACTGATCTGTGCTTTGCTTAAAGTAAAAAATAAAGGAAGCAGTCTATTCATATCTTTGTTTCAAAATGTACAAGTACAAATTGTAATTTTTACCCTAATTAAGGGCGTTTGCCTTAAACAAAATGAGGTGCAATCAGTGAGCTCCTTAAGACTACATGTAAGTGTGAGCATAATAAGGGCTGATTAAAGAAACTCAACTAACTAGTTTTGACCTTGTGCAACTTTTCTGCAAAAAGGCTGCATTAATTTTCATCATGGTTTATTCAAAAATGAATCTCAAATACTTCAAAATTAAACCCCTAAGATGTAGACAACAGAAAAGGATTTTTTAAAAAGCATTTTCTAACAAACAGCAGAGGTGCAGGGTGGCAGAAAACATCTAACATGCCATCATAAGTTGCTCAGCCTATTTAGAGGGAACAGATTAAAATTATATTAAATTGTAAACATTTTTGCAGGAATTTAAGGCTTAATATCAGCATATTTAAACTGTACTGTAAGTGCAGCAGGAGCTGCAGCAGAGGCTCCTCACCTCCAGCTCCCTCAGCACAGGATGATCATCGATCCCTGGGAAGAGAACCCTCATTGCATAAGTGCGATAGTCCAGGAAGGGGATGCCAGCTCTATCAAGATCACTGGTTAGCTCATTGATGTCCGTCTGCAGCTCAGCAAACGCTGCACAAAAGACAAATTTGTTAAACAGTCAGCCAATTTCTGTCCAACTTTTAAATGAAGGAGTAGTACCTGAGAACTGCCTAATTGTAATGATGTACATTTCATAATAGCCATCCCTGGTGATTGCTTTACCTAAAAGCTCCACCCATGTATAAACACCTGTAGTATGACTTGTACTCTCCAAATAAGTATATTCCCAACTTTGATATTGCTTTCTATGTTAAATGATAAAAAAAAAATTTAAAAGAATTTTCTAGTACAATAAAAAAAAAAGGTTTTCGGGGTTAGTCTGTGTATTCTTTTATATTCTGCTACTTGTTGGAAAAGTGGTGAATCATCTTCTTTTTGAAATAAGTGTTGGATCTCAAACATCACTCACCCTCTTTACACTCAAGAGCTACTCTTGATTCCAGATTGTCCATTTGCATCTGCAGGCGCTTCAGAGTGAGGTCATTCTCATGCGACTTTCGTCTGTAGGCGAGCAGGACGATGACGACAATGACGAGGAGCAACCCTCCACCAGCTGCGATGCTTAGAATAGCGGGCATGGTGAGCAAGCTGTCTGATCGGATGTGCACCTCTCCAGGAGAGATGTGCAATCCACCTACTTGCACCTGTTAAGAGAAGAGAAAGAAAAAATAATGTTTTTTTTAATTGACAAACCAATTGCACCTCTATAAGAATATTAATAAAATATATATTTCTCTAAATCTAGAGGGATAAAGTGTAACAATTTCTCTTTTTTAACTGCCTGAATTCGATGATTGACTAATAATCAGAGAGAAGAATCATAAGAGAAAAAATTGATATTAGTTTATGCATAAGGCTGGTTGCCTGTTTGTGAAGCGCTATGACAGTCTGCCATGTTGAACGTACAGATGCCGGTAAGGGATAAAATATGAACAAGGAAAACAAAAACTTGTTGCCCTTCTGCTGGCAGTTCAATGGGATAGAGAAGTGGCGGTGAAGATCATCTGGTGAGACTAACTCAACAACTAAGAGTCTGCACTACTGCAGCACAATGCAGGACCATGCATATGCAGCAGCAGCAGAAGAAATGGTTTCACCATCCCCAAGAAGTGATGATGAGCTTAAAAGATGACAAAACCAGAGAAATTATGAAAAAAAAATGCTGATAAATGCCGAGCAAGCCTCCTCCAGGTGGAAGGAGCTAATGAAGGAGAAAGATTTTAAAAATGGACGCCAAAGTTACTAAGTTTCTCCTACAGTTCACATGTAAGTTAAGTTAAAGTTTTCCTCTCAGTTTATTTTGTCAGTGTTTCTCGTTACCATATTAAGCATAACAGTAGATCCCACAAATGTATACCAATCATGTTGGTACAGAATTGTAGGTTTAAATGCTTTTATTAGCTTTCAAAGCCTTTTTGTTCTATTAAATGCCAGATTGTAGAGATTTCACTTCACTTCGGGTGACATTGTTAAATCAGCATTGTTGAGACGCTTTGAGACATGGAGGCTACCCTTGCCACATTCTGGGTTTGAAGCAGTGGTTTCAGTGTTCATTGGAGTGAAATCATTTCACCACTAGATGGCAGTGATTCCTACATACTACCCCTTTAAAAGAATCCTTAACTACAGAGTAAAGTAACTCAACATTTTTCCAATTAAAAGGGTTTTGAAAAAAGGAACAATATGTTGTGGTCCACACAATCATGGGCATAACTGGTGAGTTGTCATCTGTCCAGCAGATTATATCTAACAGCACCTCTAAGAAGGTAAGAGTGCAACGTTAGAAGGCAGGGGTGGAATAGATTTAGTTGAAGCTGAATCTGCCGATGGACCACAGCATCATTCCTACAGAGTTGGAAAGCTGCCTCCTGTGGCTGTAAAGGGCCAAGTACAGCGTCAGACTGGTGAGAACCCTGAACTCAGCTGACCTAAACCCCACAGAGAATCTATTGAGCCGGGCCCCTCAGTTCCAGTCCTCCAGGTTCTGTAACGTGAATGTAACTTACTGGTATATTTTCAATTTGTCTTGCCTGCAGCACAAATCAAATAATCAGGTCATTTGCTTTGTCTTGAGAGCTTCACTGTGTTCTGAGGAGGTAATTAGCTGTTTGTTTAGGTGTGTTAGGTCTGGGAAACATCTAGTTCAAGGCGACCCGTGCCCTTCACCGCTGGATTTAAAGACCACTGGCATAAAGTATTGCAAAAAGGAAGAGGTGACACAAAACTCTAAACTGCAGATGAGTTGAAGAGCACTCAGCAGAGCCAGTACTGCTCACACAGCACACAGTACTGATTCACTAATTCATACAAAAGGTGCAGAAAACATCAACAATCTCTGGATTTTAAACTTTTTGGGGGGGGAAATGAACACATAATGTGTAAATCTAAATTTTTGCCTTTCATTTGCAGTAACAAGAAAAAACATTCCTAACATTTATGACTTTGTGTCTAAAACAGCAGGAGTGTGCTGTAGTACACCCGCATAATGAAAAGTTGTGTTGAGGAATTAAAAGACCTCATCAAGTTTACTTTTGTCCTTTTTTAAAAGGAGCATCAGCTTACTCTTCTCTATTCAGCTCTATTGTCATTATTTGCTCATTTGTCAATAATTCCAGACGACAATGCGTCGTAATGGGGAACCTACCAGACCATGAGGGACAGACAATGACAGAAAGCTAGAGACTAACTGAGAGCCAGCCGTTGACCCAAAAACACCATGACGTAAAGAAGACCACTGACCTACAGAGAGCTACTCACATTGATGCAGAAAAAAGGACAAAAAGAAAAAAACATTATAACATAAGGGTAAGGTTGACATTAAAACTCACTAGGACTTTATGCTGCCCGGTGAGGTTTGGTGGCTCGCAGAGCAACTGAGTGTCTGACACAGTGAGAGAACAGGGAGTATCTCCGATCAGCACAGTGTAATTCAGTCTGGCTCCACCAGAGGCAGATGGCACCAAGTTACGACCCTGTAAAGGAGTTAAGAGAACCAGTCAACAACACTAAATCTCTATCCTTTAATGCATTTTGTGTCTTAAGAACTACTTTTGCTGGAAATCTATCAGCAAGCCTATTTAAATCCAAGTAGATTTACTGATTATAATTTAATATGTAGCTGAGCCACAACACCTGCAATTATATTCATTTCCAATAAGCTTTTAATGTCCAACTTTCACCAAACCATCAAATACAATTTTAAAGCATTATAAAAATTACTGAAGTCATCTGGAAGGAAAACTAGCAGTGGGTTCATGTAGTAAATTGCACTTTGACACGGAGTCAAAATGTGCCAATTTCCAATTTCCTTTAAGACTCAGGCTCATATCTTATGCTATTCCTGCAAGTCAGACAACTCTAAACATATCTAGCAGTGGCTCAAAGAGTAACAAAAGCAAATCGGGAGGAAAATCCCTGAAAAATTAAAGATTGGTGTGTATTTTTGGATAAGAACTTTTGCTACTACATTAGATATATATATTTTTTTAGCAACAATGGTGATACAAGCAGTCAGGAGCTCAATTAAATACCCTCATTTAGATGTTCAACATTATAGCTTTTCAAAAACTTAATGCTTTGGCACATTTATATTGAGTTGACATTGAAAACTAAGCCCTGTAATTCTGTGATCATGTAAAGGGAGGACTCCTCTCGCTTACTTTGAGAATGATGGGAGCTCCAGGTTTCTGCTCCAGAACACCTGAGAGGCTTAACGGCTCCAGGTACGGGTTGGGGTAGTAGACAAAGCCTGTGCTGTTGTAGGTGAGCAGAGCCTGAACGTTATTGAAGACAAAGCCAAACTCATCCACGTGTTTTATGGTTTCCTGGTCGGCATGGTAATCCGCCTTCAGAGAAGGGGCAAAGCAGCTGATGGTTGTTGTGTTCAAAACTTTACACACCTGCAGAGAAATAAAAATAGATTTCCCACTTAATCCCAATAGAAGATAACACACAACCTGATCTTGTAAGTATGTTTTCATGGAAAATGTTCACTCTCGTGTTTGGTGGTGTAACAAGCACAGAAACCTCTGAAATGACCTTTCATCTATTTTAGCTGGTCTGCCTCAGGTCGTTTCAAAATGTCATCGCTGGACATATTTAAGCACCTTCCTATCCACGCTGACAGGATCCCGAGGTCAAAAAACATGATTAGTATAATGCTTTAGGGCTTGCTATGCTCAGGAAAACAGTTGTAGTGCCTGGTAAAAATGTATTAAAAGTTGTTGCTGGTTTTATAATTCAATATAAATTAAACCCTGATCCATTTTATCTATAATCATTGGAAATGATCATGTCAATTAATGTGGATCTGAGTTTATACAATCTGAAAAATGGTTAAAACTCAAAACGTTTTGGTTACCTGGTAAAGTTAAGGTAGAAATATTTTTCTGCACACCAAAAGTAACTGGTTTAATACTTGTGCCAATGGTAACAGCACCTTCACATCTTTGGGTTCATGCTCTGCTGGATTCAAAAAGTGTGATTCTCTGTCTGCCAAGAAGAGAGGGATGGGATGGGACTACCTGCCAGCCAAGGTGCTGCTAAAATAAAAGGAAGTCTCCTTAATCAGACCTATACAGGGTTGTTCAATCCCTTCTGGTACTGGACAATAGGTGACTAAAATAAGTATTGCCCCCAAACTGCCCTTTTATGTAAAGTCAGGGTTGAAATGATAGTGAATATAATGCAACCTTTCAATAATTCCTAGGGGGTGGCTGGTCAGTAACTGACCAATGTGTGATTGCAATTTGTCCCATTGAAATGCTCCTGACCTGCAAGAACTGAACCTCTTTTTCTGTTGCCTAACATTACAGATGTAATAACAAACTCATTGTAGTCATAGGTATATCATTAAGAATAATTGAAAATAAGGGCTATGTGTTACATATCATGTGTGATATGTGTTACCCCAAATGTTTAGTGTGGAATATTCTATCCCAATAACATAAAAAAAAATTGTTTTAAGAAACCCAATACATGAACCAGGTCTGTGGGACCACACAGACCTTTTTAGTTTTCATATAATATGAAAATATATGTTGTAACTTCTGGTTGCATAAGTTTGGTTCAGGATTACTGTGATCAGTTAAAATTATACTGATTTTACTGAAAGCCTATAATATATCGTGTAATTTAAGTTATTACCTTAAATTGCATTTCCATAATTTAAGGCATTTTTTAAAATCAGTGTCCAGTTGCTTTGTGCAATTCATTCTCTTTCTCCATCAGTGAAGACATGGATTTGCCTGGTTGCTTCGAAATATCAACACTGACCTGATGTATAACTTGTTAGGAGTGTTTCTATTTTGTTTTGTTTTGTTTTTTTCCGCGTCATCTTTGCTTGATTGGCTGATAAATAAAAATCCCTCCTGTAACACCGTAAGCTTCACTGTCTCCTACATTACAGCTGTTAGTTGCGGTTGGGCAGGACAATCTTCTCAGAGCTCGCATTATGTCTATAGGGCCTAAAATAATTCCTACAAATTTCCAAAAGTTCCATAAACTCTATAAAATCTATATGATTTTGATCAGCTATGTTAAACGTAGTTTCTCTTTTTTTTATGTATAGATTTTTGCCTGCTACTTTCTGGGATTGGGGCTTTGTGCTGATCAATTCAACTGATGGTCTCTAAAATGTGCATCTATTGATTCTTTGCATCATCTCAATCCAAGTGTTTATCATCCTGATTAAATTAAATATCTATCCATTCATTCATAAAGATATATTTGCTTCTTTAATTCTTATCAGAGATCACCACTGGAATGGTAATACATTCATACTGTACTGCAGACTCAGTAGATATATTGTGAGATTGATTTACTTTGACAGACTGTCAGATGGCTCAGTTATGAACATTATTAATAATTTGATCAGCTTAACTACAGCACACTGTGCACAACTCATTCGTATTCATCATCATCATCACTCTGTGCAACATCCCCATTTCATTTCATTTCAAGAATGCTTTGAACCAGTTTCAGTAGGCTATTGGATTTCAAGTGGCATGCATTCAAGGTTTTTATGTTAGTAACATATATGGGCTGTTGGCTTGGGATTTGGTCTCCTTTATGCCCACTACCTAAAACACAACGAGAACAGTCGTGCCATAATTATAAAAAAATAAGAGAAAAGGACAGAAAATGTGGCACGCAAAGCTACTTTTCAGTATTTAATAATATTGGAATGGGATTTAATTCCTTGAACGTATGCCCCAGTGTGAATACAAACAAAAATATGTTACTATTTTTTAAATAATAACTTTATAATAACAAAAAAATTTAATATTTACCCCAGAAAGAAAGCATTTTTCATGAATTGCTCATTTAAATGACATTCAGTTACAAACTGTCAAAAATGTACCTAATGTTTTTCCTGTTTGCTCCTTTATTTAACTTTTAAATCAAGAAAGTTGCATTTGCAGTTTGTTAGATTTCATTGGACAATCTACTCAAAGTCAGTAAAGAGTATTCACCATTTACTCAACACATTTCAAAGCTAAGAGAAGAAAAGTTATGTGTTCAAGATGTATGCCATTAAGAACAACTGACAAAAAAAAAAAATAAAAAAAAAATACAACAACAATAAAAAAAACCCGGTGGCAGTTTTACAGCTTATTCGGTTAAAAGTTCAGCTTTAATCCCTATATATCTCCGTCTTGCCAGTGACACTGCAGAACATGCAATTTTAATTGATTGGCTCAAATTCTGGGCTGGCATCAGACACACACCATTTAATTAGCTTAGGGCATATCTCTAACACACAACATTTTCTGCATACCGGCCAAACAAAAACAAATCTTTTTTCACTCACATATTACTGCCAGCTCTTACATTCTCTATTTTGAAACTGCTAAAAGAAAAATACTTCCTTCGTTGTTTTTCTGGCAGTCTCATCAGGTACTTGTTCTTGTATTGATTTTTGAGCTTCGAGCCTTTAGACTGCTCTGGCAAATCCCTAGAGTGGTCAGAAACTACAGGCTGAGGGTGCCGGAAATTCTGCCAGAGCTGCAATGGCTTAAAACAGTCAATCAATCACTTTGAGAGCTAAGGCAAGCAATCTAAACGCCATAAATCATCTCCCAAAAAGTTGAGTTTTCCATGTAAGTTCTTAAAAGTGTAATCTAAGCGAGCAGCTCTGAATTCCCTTTTTTTTTTGTAGCTGTTTTTGTTAGTTTTGATCCTCCTTTTACTTTCAGCTTGACATGTATTTATCCAGAGCAACAAAGGATCTTTTAAAATAATTTACTATTACAAACTTCAGTGCCTTAAAAAATATTCACATACATTAAAATCACCTATACGACAGAGTTCAATTGTATTTAGCAAAGCAGATATCGCTAGTCACTCGCTACAGGTGTTTAAAATCTTTCTGAACACTGTGAAAACGTGACTATGTTGGCAACAGAGAGGGCATCTCTGGAGGAGCAGCAGAGATCTACAGCTCAGGTTGAAGAAATTTCCCAAACAGTTTTTTTCTACTCATTATTTCCATATATTAAAAAATAGAAATAGTTTAAAATAACATACCCTGTCTAGATGTGACCTACATAAAAACTCTAGGATTAACAGGGCTATTATGCAAACAAAACATTTAATAGGTTCAAATTTAAGGTCTTCGATTAAATAAAATTCCTGTGTTGGAAAAGCCCAGCACCTTTCCTAAACCATCCTTTATAGTGTCTGTCCATAGCTGCTGTTTACAGATTCAGTATAATCGGGATGCAGCTATTTTAGACGAATGTTTACAGTTTTCAGTCTAAAGGTATAAATCTGCTAGGCAGCTAGACACAGACACCTTGGTAGCATGAATGTGCTTATAAGCCACATTTGGACCTTGGTAAATATGATATACCTTGTCTATAAGATCCAAAGGAAACGTATTGAGATGTGAAAATATTGTGCAGATCTACCTATTATTTTTGTAAGTACTCATGCTGAACATTAGAAGTTGTCTTACTCACATTGACAGATTCATGGCCAGCATATTTGACTCGAACCCGAGGTTCCTGAACCACATCCAGGTTTGTCCCAGTTATTGTCAGGGTGGTGTG